TTGCATGCCCTTCAATGAAGCGATCAACGGTACTTTGAAGATTAATGTCGGCTTCAATCTTCTCAATATCGGCTCCACATAATGGACAGTCCTTGAAGCGTGAGATACATACTCTGATATCCCAGTATTAAAAAAGTACACTATTAGAGGAGTAATTTTACAGAGCCTTGTTCTGGCTCTCTTACATAGTCTGATGGCTTATGTGGCATCATCTGTACTAATCATTATCTTTCATTTTCATAGTGGGATCTGCCTACTATAGAAAGGAAGGGTAACAACTATGCTACATTAGGGAAGCATCTGGGATGGGGCCCTAAAACTTATATCGTAGGGACCAAACTAAAATATAGTTCTCATTGTACACAATCCATATTGTGTGGGGCAAAGGCCCAAAATGACACATTACAAGCACGCACATCGGGGTGAGGGTGGAGATAGAAATTTGAGCAGATAATGTATTTCATCTTACTTGCAAAATACATGAGAACAAGGCACACATCTGCTGCAATTATAAAGTAGTGCTTGACAAATCATGCAGCTAAGAGGGCCGAGCTTAAATGTTTGAGAATCAAATCCAAGAGGGCACTTTGGCGAAACAATACCATCCCTAGTCTCCTTCTTAGCCTTGTTTTCACTTACAGCTTGCGGTGTGTATCCAAGGGGGCATTTGGACGGCCCCATTGGTTGCTCCCCAGACTCTTGCTTAGGATTTATTTCACTCCCAGCGTGTTGTTTATATCCAAATGGACATTTGGATGACACTATAGCTGGCTGTCCAGATTCCTTCTTGTGCTTGTTTTCGATTCCATCTCTCTGCTCATTTTGACTTTCATTGGAGTTCTGAACAGACGCTTCATTGGGTTGAGCAGCCTTAGCGAAAGGGCAAACAGGTATCATCTTGATCCAAAAACTGTTCATACAAAAAAAACAGCCAACTTCCAATTCAGACCATTGAACTGAAATAAATTATGGAAATTCTTGAACTGGTGAAATGAACTTATTGAACTTCATACTCCGTACGAATAAAGTATTGATAAACATACTTCATCAATGATTTGTGACACTAAATACAGTTATCAACAAATTTTCATGTGAACACTACAAATAGGTATATCAGTGCAAAACAAAATTTGTGGTAGAAAACAAAAAATATACAACAAAAAATGTTCCGGACATAAATGCGTTCCCTCGCACTTAGAGCATAATTTCAACTCAGAGAATTCAATCCTTAGAGGATTATTCCAATACAAGCATTTGCACCCATAAATCAATCGCCAATTCACAATTAATATGCGGAAATAGAAGTGAAACATTGAGATTTGGAGATATTTACCTTCCGACGCTTGATTTGTGCTAGAACTTTGAGGAATAATCAATACTTGAATTTAGATCACCCGTTCCTCGTTGGCGATGGTGAATTGTGAAGAAGAAGAAGGAAGAAGAAGAGCTAGAATGAAGTGGGGGTTCTGAGTTTATTTATTTTATCTGTTCCATAGCCATATACGGAGTATATGAGTATATGACCGACCTATTGGACTGGCTCATTTACATTTCTCCTACTCATTCTAGTCCAACAATAAATTTTCATTTTAAATTACATATAAAATTTCATCTTTCTTAAAATTACTTTATTTATTAATTGGTATGTCATTAAAAAATACAAATTACATTGTTCAAAACTCCATCAAAAGTTCTACAAAATAAGGTGTGACGAAAATATTTTATCATATTAAATACTACCTCCGTCCTAGAGTATTTATCCAGTTTTAATTTTTTTGAGTCAATCGTTTTTAACCTTTGACATGTAATTAAATAAAATATATATTGTATATTAATTAGATAAAATCACTTTTTGAAAATATTTTATATACTAAATCTAATAAAACTCTCTTTGTATAAATATCTAATATCATTTTTATTTATTTTGAGCTTAAAATTTACCAATTTTGACCGAAAAAATCAAAAGTGGACAAATACTCCAATAAGGAGGGAGTAATTGATAAACTATGCAAACAAACATAAATTATCGAAAGATCATAGTAAAAATTGGAAAGTTTATTATTGGACGTAAGGAGAATTTTTAGTATCCGTTTGATAAGTATAAGAGATATGAGTTTTTGTATTTTTTAATATCAATTTTTTAGTTTGATGAAACATTAGAAATGTTGAAATTGTGTACTTTTAAATATTATAAATCCTCAAAATGAAAAGTTTTGGTATCTTCCAAACATTAGGGTTTTGTTTGTGACTAGCATTTCCCTAGAGTCTGATGATAACTCTCAAATGTCGATCACTCCCGCCATGGGCTACCACTGCCACCATTAGACCACTTTTGTTGCCGGTCACCCATGCAGCCATGCCTATGATCATTAACTAGATCATAATTTTAAATCTTTCCAAATAATTTTAATTTATTTCAGATTTTAAAAACTCATGTTATTTCTCACCTATTTCAAAATATATAACATATCACATCTTCAAAACTCACCAAATGAATCATTATTATTTTTGTAAAATTATACTCCTCTTTTGTTTATGGATTCGGTGGGGGAGGTTATATTGACACTAGAAAGTATGCTTACTAAAACTTTTTTTATAGTAATAATGAAAATATTAAGAATAATAATAACACTTACAAAGTATCATTAGCATTATTGTTCTTGTTATTGCTATAATTTTTCTATATTATTATTATTATTAATGTTATTATTGAATAAAATATTTTCTTGAGTTATTAACATCATAGAGTAATTTTTTAAATATTTATATGTTTTTGTGGAAACATAATTTTTGGTATATGATATTTCTTTTATTGCCATTAATTTTTATGGTGAAACAACTGACTAGCTCATGAAAGCTAGCTAGATGGTCTATAAACAATATCATATACTCAAATTTCTCCTTGAAACAACTTTACCTTTTTTTAAAATATAGTTCTTGTGAGTTGATAGATGTGAAAAAATATCTTCAAAAAAACAAGAAGAAAAAGTTGAGAAAAAAATAAAACTAAATGAAAGTTCAATTACCGATTAAAGACATAAGAACAACATTTTTTACATTAATAAGAATTTCAATGACATAAAAAAGTAAGGAAAGAAGTGGGGCATTTTTACAACAACAAAAAGTTACAACACAATATTTTAGAATTTCTTTTTTGTTTTAACCATTTTTAATCTGTTAAAATTGGAACTTATCAAAGTGCGGCCCGAACTGAGTTTCGAGATGGGTTAAGACGCTACATTATCAAAATTTTCTAGGCACAAACTCGGCCCGGCACGTATAGCGCGCCTAACAATAACAGCAAGAACCCGACCCGGATAGGTACCTGTGGGCTTTAAGCTGTGCCGGCCCCCATGGTAAATATTTTCTACATAATTAAAAAATAAATAAATACCTACATATACGGAGTGTTAAATAGTTTGTATTTGATATACTCCTTTCGTCCTAAAATTATTTTCTCAGTTACTATTTACATATTCGGACCTGTAAAATCTGAAGCTGGTGTTAAAGTATCTCGTCCATTTAAAAAATGACCCAAGGCTGACCCGTATCCGAAAATATCAAGCCCAACGAAAAAGAAAAAAAAGAACTTAGAAATACTGGTTGGAGATGCGGGGGATCGAACCCGTGCCTCTCGCATGCAAAGCGAGCGCTCTACCATTTGAGCTACATCCCCGTTGGATTTAGCCTGCATCAAATGTTAATTATATTGGCTTTGCATGTTATTAATTGTTAAAACCTTCACGAGGTTAATATTAACCCTCCTTTTCCACACACCTCTTGAATACACCAATTTGCCCCCTTCAATTTATGTGTAACTAGTTACGGAGTATAAGTTTTTATCCCATACTTGTCATCACATTATTTTACTCTTACATAAAATATATTTATGAATTAAATAAAGAATAAAGTTAGAAATCAACAAATAAGTGAACTGTATATAATATTTGTTAAATTGTGTTATCACCAATATATAGAACACGTAAATTTTAAATACGTGTGCATACATATCTGAAAACTTCTCAAACTACTCGTAGTTGACTAAAAGTTATACACACAAAACAAAATAAAAACTGTCAATATTTTCAAAAAGATATTTAGATAATAGCAAAAAATCAAATAAAAATCTGAAGGAAATAATGAAAAAGAGAATGAAAATGATTTTTTACGGAGTATGACATTTATATGGTAATCAATCAATGTCATCTCTTTTATAACGATGCAAATGTTTTAATTATAAATCTTTGAATTAATAATCTTCATACTTTATTAAGTGCTCTTTGAATAATTAAAACTTTATAAAAATAGATACCAAGTTGACCAAGGCATCCCATTTTTTGTGCTTGGATGAGCTTGCTATAATACATTACACGGAGCAACATACTTACTAAATTTTAACTTCAACAAGCCTCTCAAAATATAGTAGGTCATGATATTATTAAAAATGAGTTATTGATTTGGTACTCTTCTCTCTCGTTCTTCTTTGCGAAATATTCCATTACTCTACACTCCATTTATTAAATAATTAAAATAATATATTTTATTATTTTACTGAAAGCAAAATATTATCCCATATTTTATTTTAAATTACTCCTCTCGAAAAAAGAATGTCACAATTACTATTATAGTCAATCGATAACTTTTGTTTGTTTACTTATTTTGGTTAACTATCTGATACAATAAAATATTATTGTAATCTTCTCACATCTTGGTTTGTAGAACTTTTAATGTAATTTATGCTTTTTATTTTTCTACCAATTTGTAAAAAAAAAAATTAAAAGAGAATATTTTATGTGTTGTTCAAAACGTTGTAAATAATTTAGGACGGAGGGAGTATTATTTTTTAAGTACATAATTTATTATTCAATTTTATAAAAATGAAATAATGCAATCTAAAAATCATTAAAAATAGTGTACCATAATAGTGAAAACAATATATGGCGAATATGGAGCATAGTTTTTACTTTTTAGCTAAATTATAGCAAGGAAAGGTAAGAGATGACAATGCAATACCATTATTCTTGTTTTAAAAAATGACTTTAGTAAGCCATTTTGCATTGTCATCCCCAACCTTGCTACATACTCCGTAGTACGGAGTATAATTCAAACACCCAAAGCGGCGTTTTACATTTTCTCTCCAAAAAAAAAGAAAAAAAACTAGCCTTATATTTCTCGAGTAGTACAACACATTATACGTAAACAAATATTATACTTAAACTCCGTGAAATATTTTAAAGCTACATTTAAAAGCAAAATCACAAGTAGCCAGCCTGCTAGAATACCTCATAGTGTATCATGAAGCATAATCAATCTGTAGGGTTAAATCCTGTACCCCGAGATCATGGTACAGATCACGCACATATTGGAGCACCACCTCATCATCCATTCCATTCTTCATCTGCCCAAAAGAAATGGAATGGCAAAGAATGCCTACTGTAAGATACAGACCTTAATTACAATGGACTAAGGGAAAGAGATCAAACTGGGCACATTAATTTAGGACAACGGGGAGATGGGACATTTTTTGGGACACCTAGAGAAAATACTCTTTATTTAGATTGTAATTTAAGAATATCAAATTCGAGCTAGATTATATGCTCTACATATATGTCTAACGAGTTTTTGTTTCTTACGAAATTGAACTTGATTTTGCTCGTTTAACAAGATTAACAAACGGAAGTCAAATTTAGTTGGAAAAGGGTGTGTCCAACTCTGACTCAACCTATTCTTTTTTACCAATATAAGACCAAAAGAAATAAAACTAGTCAAACAAAATACCTGCACTGAAATTGATCCGATGGCATGCCCTGGCACCATCTCCCAAAATCGGGCTTGAAATAGTTCTGAAACATCTTCACGAGAGGTAACCTAACCACAGACGAAAAACTTTGCATTCAGGAAAAATAGCTAGCGATCCGCGAACATAAAATCAAATTGGAAAAAAACACCACTCCTGTTCACTGAGGGAACTTAAAAAAGACTTAGAAAAACACCTGTCGCCTGCATTTGTTAAATGCAGAAGAAGATACATAGGAAGGTGCTGTCTGGAGAAGAATTCCTCCCGTAGCCTTGAATAGTGGCATGACAAGCAAAAAAACTGCAGCTGAAACCATTCCTAGGCAAAGAACTTCAGCGTTCTTCACCCTAGCAAACACCAAGAACACACACAAGTACATTCAAAGCATGTTTCACTAGAGTTGTTTAACTGGAGTGGCAAAATTGGATGACTATTTCATATGTAAATAGAATAAGCCGATTATGGCTACCTAGTGGAGCTTTAGATTTTGATACTTTGACTTGGCATATTCAGTCCATTAATGTATCAAACTGCATTAATTATCACAGGAAAAGAAACCATTACCCTAATGCCAACAACCAGGAGGCTAAGATCAAACCTGCACTGCAAAGAAAAAGAATGTAAAAGAAGTGATTAAGTTCTTTGAACAATTGTATCTCCGAGAGATATAAAGAGCTACCCAGCATAATCATGTACCTGCGGATGGAATCAGCGATAACATGCAAACAAACTGAATGGTAATTCATATCTTCGGCCTTCCTATACACTGCAAGTTACACATTTTGAGTAAGAATTTCTGAGAAACAGATAAGAGAAGGTAAACACTATAGAAATGAGACAATTCAAAACAGTGATATGCATTTTTAAACTATCCCACGCAAAAGTTCAGACCTCGCAAGTGGATAAGGGAGAGAGTAAATTTCTGCATGTGAACAATTTTTCTTTTTCACATCAGGTGTAGAAGCTAAATAAGTCAAAGGCTACTTACTCTTCTAATATAAGTTCAATAAGCAGATTAATTCCACAGTAACGAGCAAAGTCCAAATGCAGGTCCTAGGAAACAGAGTAAGGGAGCTAATAAATCTATACTCATATTCTCATGTCAAATCTGTCATACAACTGATACAAGGATGGACCCAGTATAACCAGAACTTCACAGTTCAAACTCATGAGGGATGGACGCGCATATAATCTTTTATTATGTTTTCTTTATCATCATCAAGTTGACAAAACAGCCACAACAGAACAATTCATATAGAGCGCGGATGAATATCCAGCTTGATGCAATCGCAGCTGCAACTTCTATTAGGCGTTTATATGTGCGGCAAAATAGATAAATGACAAGATGATATTCATAAAATCACACATATATTTAGAGGGACATCATGAGCCAATCCCTCCCTTTCGGTTGTTACTTTCATAGGCAAACTTTATCCACTTCAGAGTTAGAAAGATAGAGTATGGATTTGGTAGTTTGAACATAAACCTTACCAAGATTAATGCGAGCATAGTTTCTGAAGAACCAAACACCAATGAGATTCACCAGCAAGTTGGTAACGGCGGAAACTATCAAGTAATGCCTATGTATAGGCAATGAATAAATGAAGAAATATTACCCAATAAATTACTTACAGGAAGAATAGACATAGATAGTTACGGTCTTACGGAGCATTAGGTAACGAAAACAATTAAATTAAGATGCAAACCACTTTCATTAAATGCAAGCAGTTCAATTGGCTGAAAATACAAAATCTGAATTCAAGATTTTCATTCACTAATGAATCAGCAATAGCTATTAAGATAGTGTGTGCACTTTGACAAGAATTTAAAAAGAAAAGGAGTTTGATTATAATCAAGTGATGTTTTACAATCTGGGGCACTAAAAGCATATAGTATCATAATATATTCATACTCCCTCACAGTCTTACACCGGACAATGTCAAATCGGCTACATTATATGGCACGGAGTGTTGGGCAGTGAAGAAAACAAACGCTCGACAATGTCGAATGCCGGAGATGTCCGATGAGGATGCTAGGGTGGATGTATGGTCATACAAGGATAAATAAGATCCAGAATAAGGTTATTTAAGGAAGGGTGGGAGACTGGGAGTGGTCTCTGTAGAGGATAAGTAAAAAGCTTCATGAGATGCAATACATGTCAAATCTATGTTTACAGTTTGGTTTATCATAGCTTAACAAGCTATAGAGAATAAGCTGCAAAAAACTAAACTGAGATGATTTGGGCACGTACTGAGGAGAAATACGGATCGTGCAGATGTGCTTTTGTGCATTAATCTATAGCTTCTGCATGTGTACTTTGGGTCTGAGTTTGAGTTTCAGTTTCTGTATGTGTGCCTATTTTGTCTATGCTCTTATTTCATTCATGCTAGTTCTTGGAAACAACCTCTCTACTATCCAAGTATGCATGCAGTCACACACCCCACTTTTGTGGGATTTAAATTGGCTTGCTGTTGTTTGTTGTGTATTCATATTCCCTCAGTCCAAAACAAGAGTATGTTCGAGTCTGATACTATTTCCTATTAGCCAACTCAATGGGTACAAGCTTTTACAAGTAATGGATGGACAATGGTAACTAATAACCCGTAAACCTTAATTCAAAGATTGTTTGGGATAAAAAGGTTTCTTGATTCTTAGTTTATAGGAAATGGTCAATTCTACCACAAATGCTCATTTTGGGAGATGAGTAACTGAATCAGAAAATGATAACAGTCTGATGACGAATTTATGAAGCTGATATTAACACACATCAAGTCCGAGCCCAAATTTGCTACTCCCTACGTTCTTTGTTAATGGTCCAATATGACTTTCTTGATACATCAAAAATCCAATGAATATGAACATACATCACATCCATATTCATTCACTTTTAATGTATCAATAAAGTCATAATGGATAGTAAAAAGACAACAGAGGGAGTTTAGTGAAACGAACATAACACGTCTAGTAAAAATGTTGTACTTCTCAGGCCAATGGAGGGTGTGGCTTAGAGATTGTGCATCAAGCTAGCAATTGTTGGTCAAAGAAAAAGAGTGCGGTCTTAAATTGGAAAAGTTTTGGCACATAGGTATAGCTATGTAATCTCAACTATGCAGCATGATTAGGTTCCTGAATTTTAGCAGGTATGGTGCATGAATTTTAGTTAGCAGAATTCCAGTTAGTGCCCCTACTTCTATGTTTAGAAACCAATTTACTATGGTGTCTTGTAGTTAAAAACTATTGTTTGACTTTGAATGAAGTAAGGGGCTGTTTGGCAACTTCTGAATAGGTAAGTGCTGAACCAGTAAGAGGTCTGAATCATTAAGTGCTGAACCAGTACGAGTTCTGAACCATTAAGATCTAGTATATAACTTAACTATTCAGAGGCAAATGTCTGATCAATTCAGATAAGAGGTCTTAACCATTCAGACTCTGTATAATACTTAATCATTCAGAGGCAAATGTCTGAACCATTCAGACATCTGCTCACAAAACAAACAATCTGAACCATTAAGTGCTGAACCATTAAGAGGCTAAAACAAGCAGCCCCTTAGGAAAGGGAGTTTTAAAAATGACCCCCCCCCCCCGAAAAAAACTCCTTTTTTGGTGTTTATTTGCAAGTTATATGCCTCAGGGCTTGATTGCATTTTCCTATTAAAAAAGTTCGATAACTTTTTTGACTCTCTTCCCTAGAACTATAGTTTTACTTTAATAAAAATGTCATTCCAAATAGAGATCAACCAACTTGTAAGCAGATTTGACACATTTTTGCATCTCATGAAGATGCTGACTTGTGCCAAGTAGCTAAGTTGATCATGGCTTAAAAATCTCCACTTTCCGGAGTTATAGAAAATTACAAGTCAGGCAATCCAAGAGAGCATGGGTGGTGTAAAGAGGACAAATCGTACTTGTGCTCGGATTCGTCTTGTATGAATGCATGAAGTGCTTCAACAGCTAGGGAGAACGACAAAAACAATAGAAAGAGCTGTCTACACAAGAAACACATTGACAAAATGTTGTGTTAGCCTTTAGTAAGAGATACAAGAAAGACTTCAAAATTTATAATACACAATCAAATGAATGACAACTTATTCTTAAGCACTCAAATACACTGGGCAAGCTAAAAGATATATATGCACAGGCTTAAATTTAAGGAATTGCAAACCAAGTTTTGAAGTTTGGATATAATGCACATGTGCATTTCTTTTTCATTTTTCTATTCATGTCATAGTCAAAACACGAGTACCATTTAGAGATTTGTGACGGACATTTTTACTAAATTATAGAATGATTAAGTATCCATTTCTCTTTGTCTCAATTATGTTGCTAATTTACAATGAAAGTGAAAACTAGTGCGGTTGAAATCTATGCAGAAAAGAGGCAGGCTCTATAACCACATTATGCTTTCCAAAAATGGAAATGAGCAAGATCAAATACATGGTTTTAGGCCTTAGGGAGTAAAATAAAATCAAAGAACAAGCAAATACACTAGCAGAGTAGGAAAAATTCATTTAATTAGAGGTGTCAGGAACATCACTTCCAAGGTAACTGGCAATTAAAGTAATACAAAAAGAGTATCACTCACTTGTTCAAAAATTATTAGCTTCGTTCCAAAATAAAAGAGATAGCTAGGTTTATGATGTTTGAGTGTAGTTATATTTAATTCAATTTATTTCAAAATTGGTATAGAAATAAAAAATTTGTACAAAATATATTTAAAACTAAATCAAAAGATCTACTACCTCTGTCCTAGAGTATTTGTCCACTTTTATTTTTACACATCATCCAATAAACTTCTTTAATCCATTTTATCTTGTAATTTGTATATTAAAAAATTATAGAAATTATATACTCCCTCCGTCCCATAAAACCTTTCTCCTTTCTTTTTTTATCTGTCCCACAAAACACTTCTCATTTCAATTAAAAAGTCATTTTTAACCCTTACTTTTTCATACCCTAACTATCACATCATACCTTTTTACTAATAATCTATCCATCAAATCATACTTTTACACATCACATCAAAGGACATTTATGAAAATTCAATACCAAAATACACTCCCCTTAAATCCCTCCTAAAAAGTAAAACTCCCATGTTTCACGGGACGGAGGAAGTATTAATAATCTATATGTTATATTTAGGCTTACACATTGAGAGAATTTGATGAGTCAAAGTGCTTAGATGAACAGTTCCAAAAGTCAAAAGTGGACCAATACTCCGGGACGGAGGGAGTATAAAACAAGAGGTGACACCACTATATTACTTTATCAAATGAGTAACAAAAAATAGACAAAGTGAATAGAGTGTGACCATGTTATGAGTGAATTGGGCTTAATTTTTGGGACGGGAGGAGTATCATTTAGAGATAGATCCTATCCAATAACCTAGGAATCACGAGTATTTGAATTGAATAAAGAAAGCAGTCCAAAGTGCCCTGGGATAAGTAGATCATTACTACGAGGTGTCGCAATTCAAAATACTCAAAAAACAACTATTAGTGTTAGCAGACTTACCATTATATTGAAACATCTTGACATGTACAACAAGAAAAGAGAAATAGGCTTACAAAAAAAGAAAAAAAGAAAAGAAAAGAAAAGAGCAATAGGGTTCAAGCTTTCAAGTACTTACAGCATTGGTGAAAGCAGACAAAACTTCAAGTCTCTTGTACCTAAAAAAGGGATAAACTCATTAGGCATTCACTGAGTTTCATATTCTCTATTAAGCATAAGGATGAGGCCACTATTCATACAAAACTGCCCTCGCTTTATTTAGAACAAGTTCCCCGCAAAATTACGAGGATGTATACCTAGCAGAGGATAGAGTCCACCACCCATCCACCCCCTACTAATTATAAAATCTCTTGTCTTCAATGAGGGAAGAACCCGCATTTTCACACAATCTATTATGCAAATTTCTAACTCAAGCCAAGAATAACAGAATACATTTCAAACCTCACCCATATGTGTAGGTACCATCAGGCTTTTTCCTGGAAATAGCCATTGCAAACAATGAAAATGTTAAGAGACCACAACCAAATGTCAAGTGAAATGCATCGGAGACCAGACCTGAAAAATAAAAAATTGATAAGCATCAAAGATGCAAGGGAAGGAAATCCAGGGGAGAGCATAAAGCTAAATGCATAGGTTCTTCAAAGTACACTTATTTTAATTCAAGGTTTGATCTCCAAATGGAGAACAATAATTCCTTCATCAATCAGCATCAGATTGAACCAATATAACCCATAGAACAAAACTGAATGCACCACTATGGAGGAGACAATGACTACTGACAAGCATATATGTAACATGATTCTGATTCCAAGGAAAACCAAGATTTCTCTGAACTTTTCCCAGTGTTAATCCATAACAACCACACAGTAGATTCACAAGACACAACTCCAAACACTGTATTCATTCATTCTTAAGCTGAACCTAAGTCAAAACTCAAACAGAGAGAAAGGTTGGAGAAACTCCGCATACCTACTCGGCCTGAAAAAAGGCCAACGCATAACTCAACGGTAGAATAAGCTACATTCAGTGAAATCAACAGAAACAGCCTCCTCATCGGCTTGTTTCCCGATGTGACGCCCCTAAAAACAGCGGATATCAGGGAAGAAGCCGAAAATTTATCGTCAGAGATCTTCGATTCCGCAGGAAACCTCTCGGACGAATCTCGATAGTAGATGTCCGGTATATCGATGCTCGAGACGTTCCGCATAAGAAGAGGCTTCGAGAAACTGTTCGATTGTTGAAAGGACGCTTGCCGTGAAAATGCGAATCTCCGGTCACTGCCGCCGAAATCGAAACCACCGCCACTCGACGGCGGTCTCGGCGACTCCGCATCCCCCTTCCGGTAATTAATCCTTGAATCGTAGAGCTCTGTAGCCATCGGACTTTCCATTTTCGTAAATACGTGAAAAGTCAGATCAAATGTGCCTTGAATGGGAGTAACCAGAGAGAGTGAATGGCGGCGGTGCCGCGGGTGTCAGACGGTGGCCCATTTACCGGCAGTCAAAGAAAACGGCTTTTAGAAAATGGAAATAAAAAAAATAAATCCCAAAATAACTCGCTCGTGTAAAAGAAAAACTGGAGATGCGGGGGATCGAACCCCGTGCCTCTCGCATGCAAAGCGAGCGCTCTACCATTTGAGCTACATCCCCTTTGCTAACGTTGCATTACATTCTTATTATTCTCTTAAGAATTATGACGTTAATACGAAGTTTGACTCAATACACATCACAAGTTAGATACACAATTTTACTTTTTTATTTCATGTCTTGTTCACAACAATGAGAGTCATTTGGTAAAGTGAAAGTATGAGTTATTTTAACAAATTATTTAAAAATTTATGAAGAGTATACCTTTTTTTAAAAATGATAAAGTACGTAAAATAAGATGGTGAATATAACAATTATATTATTTTCATTATATCTTTCAAAATAAGATGGTGTAACTTATCACTAATTCTCATTAAATGTGTAATACCTATAGAAGGATAGTGACAAATATTTAAAATTGCATGTTACAGTCATCATGCATAAAATAATATTCTGAGTATTAGATTCTTACATGTATTATAGACAGATATTACTTCATAATAATCAATTTAAGATTTAAACTTACTTTATTTTTTTTCAAAGTATTGAGCGAATACATATCTATAAACAAAAATACTAATGACTAAAGCACTCCCTTCAGTTGAAAAAATTAAAGTGTCACAGTTCACAATTCAAAAATCAAAGAAATTTTCATTTATTTGTACATTTGCATTAATTATTTGATAAAATCAAATATTAATGTCACATCTTATTTTGAAGAACTTATTATTTATTTTTTAAATATGTAAATTTTATTTTTATTTCTATATCAATTTTTAAATAAGATAAATTAAAAACTTTAAATTTCTCTTCATTTTAAGTAACACGACATACATTTTAGGACGAAGAAAATATTAAATTAAATATTCTAAAAAGTGAAATAAAAAGAAGGGAAATGATATTTGTATACCGAAAATTGCATGCGCCAATATTTTGTGCTAGTGTGATGTTTTACAATAATACAAAATATCAGTGTAGTTTTTTATTGAACGAACATTTTGTACGAGTATGAATTAGAACGAGATAGATATATACTCCCTCCGCCCCATGAAACCTTTCTCCTTTCTTTTTTTATCCGTCTCACAAAACACTTCTCATTTCTATTAAAAAGTCACTTTTACCCCTTACTTTTTCATACCTTAACTATCACATCATACCTTTTTACTAATAATCTATCCATCAAATCATACTTTTACCCATCACATCAAAGGACATTTTTGGAAATTCAATACCAAAATACACTTCCCTTAAATTCCTCCTAAAAAGCAAAACTCTCATGTTTCATGGGACGGAGGGAGTAGTCTTTTAGTACGGAGATACCAATGTAATTTCTTTATTGAACGAACATTTTGTACAAGTACTCCCTCCGTCCACAAATAAACTTTACATTGCGCGTTACGATGTTTGACTGAAGTTATTTTCAACTCAATTTATATGAAAAATGGTGTAGAATTGAAAAATAAAAATTACATACTAAAAAACTATATCAAAAGATCTACAAAACTAGAGGTGACATGATTTTATTATTTTATCAAATGTGTGACGAAAATAGGCCAACAAAGTGAATAAAGTTTGACCCTATGAATAGTGAACGTAAAGTTTATATTTGGACGGAGGGAGTATAATTTTTTTAGTACGAACATTTTGTATAAGTATAGTCTTTTAGTCATTGAACGAACATTTTATTGAACGAATATTTTATTGAACAAACGTAGTTCGTTCAATAATGAATATTTTATTGAACGAACATTTTATTAAACGAAAAGACCATCTATCTCAGTACTAAGATAGATAGCTAGTCCTTTAATACTGAAATATATAGTCTTTTAATATTGAGATAGATAATCGTTTAGTACTAATCTATCTAGTATTGAGATAAATAGTCTGCGATAGGCTATCTATCAGTACTAAAAGATTTTAAAGATTTTGGTACTAAAACACTTTATTACTACGGAGTAAAAGACTAACTATCTCAGTCAGTACTAATTAAATCTATCTAATACTGAAATAGACTATCTCATTACTAAAAGACTATCTATTTTAGTACTAAAAAACTATCTATCTCAAACTATCTATTTTCAGTATGAAAAGACTATCTATCTTCAGTACTAAAAGGTTATCTATCTCAGTATTAAAAGACTATATATTAAACGAACATTTCATTGAACATTTCATTAACGAACATTTTATAAAACAAACATCTTATTGAACATTTCATTGAAGGAACATTTTATTGAACGAACATAGTTTTTTAGTACGAACATTTTATTGAACGAACATTTTGTACAATCTTTAAGTACAGAAATAATAATGTAGTTTTTTATTGAACGAACAAAATACCAATATAGTTTTTTTTGAACGAACATTTTGTACGAGTATGAATTAGAACGGGAATGAATTTTTTGTTGGAGACAATCATTTCTCTAGGCGGAAATAATCCGTCTACCCCACTCTAACGGTCGATTTTCCGACCTAAATTAAGCCACCCGTCGTCACTCATCATCAATGAAAGCTTACAAGTTACAAATCTTTCTCTCTCTCTCTCTCTCTCTCTCTGAAAATCAAATCTCGAATTCGGAAAATGGAGAACAGAGTGAAAGCAGAATCAGCCAAGGTTCAGCATGTCGCCAGAGCTTCATCGGACGAGCTTCTCCGGAAATTCGCCGAAGTCGGCTCTGCATCCGAAGACGAGCGAGAGCTCCGTCTAGTCAAGCGCCTGAGAAGGAGCGAAACCGCCGGCGGTCTCCGTCGCCGTCGCGGTGGCGGAAGGGAAGCGGCGAATTGCAGCGGCGGTTCGTCGGTTGTGGAGAGGATGTCACTTATCATCTCTCCGGCGGCGCCGGTCCGGCACTTCGGAATCGGGAAAGTCAGGGTCCGATCCATGGATTCAAGGACCAGGTCTTTCGTCGGTACTCTAAAGAAGGTAAAGATTATTTCGGCCCTGTTTGTGAATATACGCATAATTGTTAACAATTTAAAGTTTTGTTATGTTACAAATTAGCAACTTGATTAAAAATTAAAGCATGTTTGGTTCAAAATCAACAATTTTTTTAAGGCATGCTAAAAAAAATTGGGAAATGCTTGATTCACAAACACAATGGTCATAAACTTCACAAACTTACTATTTTTGAACTTCAATGGAAAACATTAAATAGTCTAAAATGATTTTAAAATAAAATTTTAAGTCATAAATAGTAGGTTTGTGAAGTTTGTGTCTATTTTGTTTGTGAACCTAGCTTTGCTCAAAAAAATTAAGCATAAATCTTTATCTTACACCTCTTTTGTTTGTGCTGGCATACAAACCAATCCCACACTGGAGATTTAAAAGAGAATGATAAATTGTGAAGATTTGGTCCAGAATAAAAAATATCATACTAATGTGAGATTGAGATGAGGTTACGCGAGGTCCCATTAGTTATTCAAAAAATTTTACACTTTATTTTATCAAGGTAAAGGATACGTGACTTATAAAACTCTTCGATCGCTTTTAAACAAATTTCAGAGTACCTAAAAAATACTCTTTCCATTTTAGTGTATTTGTTCAGTTTGACTTTATCGAGTCAGACTCGACAAGCTTTAAGCTTCAATTAAATAAAAATCATGACGTATTGAGAAATGAGAACTTTCAAAATTGTATTTCATTATTCTAATATACAATACAAATTGAGAACAATTAGATATTAAAATTTGTCCAGTTTGACTCGAAAAAATCAAACTTAATAAATACACTGAGACATGTGTAGCAGTGTTTAGCATTGCTATTTTAGGGAGTAGTTGTGATTTTACCTTCTTTTTTATAGCTTGAGTTGATTTTATTGACAAAATGGCAATTGTGTTGTTGTATGTATGCCTTTTTTTGTTCAGACATGGCGAAAGACCATAGAAGGGGCATCCAAGGTCTTCATTGAGAAACAATATAATGGACACAAACGCCTCATCAATGACATCTACTAGTTTAATTATGTGATTATTGAATATGTAATAATAATCATTATTTAATGTTGAGTGTTCTTTTTTTTGTTTTACTCAATGTTTAGCATTATTTATTTATTGGTAGGTATCGTTTTTCTACTTTCAAGTAGCTAAAATTAAACTCTATGTGCACACCTTCTCCTCATATTCTGTTTTTGTATAGAATTCTATTGAATTGTTGTGAGTTAAAAAAAAACAATTACTCTAATTCAATTCGTGATAGATTTAGAAATTTACATGGAGTTGGCGACTTGAGTCACATCTACCTTTTCTCAAATGCAAATAAATAAATAAAAGAAAAAAACATAACAATACAATGTACAGAGTATAATTTCGACAAATTTTTAGTGATCTCAATTTAAAAGCAATTACACGAATGAGGAGTGATCTCAATTTAAAAGCAATTACACAAATTTCTATATATTTACTGTTCGAGCCCTACTTTTGTACTTATGAAGTTTAGATTAATTTGAAGAGATATTACAGTGATGGTACGAAGGTTACTAAAATAAATACATAATGTAATTATACATTTGTGCATGGAGCATAGGATCCCCAATAGTTTTGGTGCTGGCCTGGCCAGGGAGGGGAAAGCTAGCTAGCTAGTTTTAACCTGTCTGTCATGGGCACATTATCAAGAGTCACTTGTGCCTGCCATTTCTAATTCAAAGGATTTGGATTTGGAGGAGCACTACATGACCCGACCCTTATCTCCTACTACTACAAGGCATTAAGGCATCTTCCTCTCCTTACAAGTGTCATATTGACGGACTCGGACCTTGTTCTCTTCACTTGATCTGAATGATTCTGATGTTATTGAAATATATTCTGGTCTGATTGGGTCTAATCCGATCTAAGTGTAGTTATGACTTAAACAAGATTTTTTATTTTTCCGTTTTGATCAGATTATTTATAAAACTACTTCTCACAGTTTATTAATATTCCTTAATGACTTATCTGTCACTAAAGCAATTTTACTTCTACGATAAAACATACTCTGTGTAACTTATAAACAACTTATAAAATAAAAATGACTAAACACGTGAAATTGAAAGATCAAAGATTTCCAAGTCTAATACCCTGTAATCCTTTATTAACTTATCTGCATCACACGTTTGTTTTTATAAAAGAACACACAAGTTAAATTAGTTTTAATAAGAAATTTACTTTAAAATTTTTAGAAAAAATAAGGAGAAGCAATGAAAAGTGTTCAGAAAGAGCTATGTCAATTAATGTCTCCAATAAAGTATGCGTTTACTCATTTCCTACACAATAATTTTTCTTGGGAATATGTTGCCTAAAAAATAAATTTTTATTTGAAAATTATTTTTCCTTGAGGCCCAAAAGTGTGGAGTATTTCGATTTTGGAGTGTAGATAATCAAAAGCAATAAAGAAAGGGAGAGAAGAAGTCTTTCATTCATTCTACTGAGAAAGAATACCAAATATAAAGCTGTGCTCCATTTTGAATTATCAGTCTTCATTCAGAATACTCTTTTCCAGTAGTAGTTTCCACTGCCAATTATTTTTCCCTATTTTAATATTTTCCAAATATGTCTCACTATTTTGTTTTTTTAGTTTTATGTTTGTCTCATTATTATTATTGATATTGTCTTTGTCCCAAAATATTTGTTGAATTTGTTTTGTTGTCAAATTGCCTTAATTTTGATTGTGAATTAACTAAAAATCACATTACACTTATTCTAAAACATTTTTCAAGACTTATCTTACATTTAAACAATTATTCCATTTAGATAATATGTAATGTATTTTTTTCAAGTGATGACCAAATATCACCCAACATGACTCAAAATATCAAACTCCAAGAATACTTAAAAGTAGAAAAAGTAATAATTACTCCATAATACTTTGTAACATTAACATGTCTCACATTTATTCCCACAACTTTTTTTTATTTTTAAATTTATTTGAGAAATTATCATACAATTTCTGCTTTTACTTGTCACATGTTATTTAATAAGTTGTCATCTATGGAGTATTACCTAATACTCAGATAAGATAATAAAGTCATGTTATAATGGAGTAAGTATATTATTTTGTGAATATAAAATTGTACAATTTATTTTATTTTACTTGTCTAACTTTTGAAGGAGTATATTTATACTCCCTCCGTCCAAAAATAAATTTTACATTGCGCGTTACGATGTTTGACTGAAGTTATTTTCAAATCATTTTATATAAAAAATGGTGTAGAATTGAAAAATAAAAATTACATATTAAAAAACTATATCAAAAGATCTACAAAACTAGAGGTGACATGACTATATTATTTTATCAAATGGGTGACGAAAATAGGCTAACAAAGTGAATAAAGTTTGACCCTGTGAATAGTGAACGTAAAATTTATTTGTGGACGGAAGGATTAAATTATAAGTCCTCTCCTGGCCGGATTTGCTGAGAAAGAAGAAACACTTCTTCTCAGTTGGCTTTATTATTACTCCGTATTATATATCTATGCTCCCACATTTCTTTCATACTTTCTCCAAATCTCTGTATATACACACGGATGGATATATACAATCAAGATTTCGAATTTCCACACATGCAACAATCTCCCAAATCGTTTCATTTTCTTGAATTCGTTGCAGCAGTTGTAACAGAATTCATCTTCTTCATCATCATCTTCTTCTTCTTCTCAGAATCATCTATAAATACTCCCCATTCCACTTGTTCATCCGCAAGACTCTTCTCTGATTTCTCTCTCGCGTATCCCGTGTAAGAACACTTGCGCATAGATATTCTTCTCTGATTTTATTCCATCTCCAGCCCTTTCTTGATAACCCCCCGTTTGATTGATGATAAAAATGAAATCTTTTTCAGGTTTCTGCGTGAGATTGGATTCTTGGGAGTGTTAGAGCGCAGGAATTCTCTTTTCTCTTTTACCTTTTTCTTTATTGTATGGTTCTCTCGTTAGCTTTGGTTTCTTTGATTTGTATTGCTCTGTTAATTCTGGGGTTTATGAGTGGGTTCGGGTTCTGATTGAATTTCTGCGATTCTTTTTTCCCCAGAATTTCAAGAAGCTTCTGCAATGGCGCCGTTCTGGGAAACGATTTCGAGGTGCTGGAAGCCATTGAAGAAGAAGTACACCCGCGTGAGGAGGGAAGAAGGCAGTACGAATAATCTTGGCAGGGAAGACGACGAGCTCCTCTGGTTCAGAGACATCGGAAAACACAGTTCCGGCGACTACTCCTTCGCCGTCGTTCAAGCCAACCCTGTCCTCGAGGACTACAGCCAGGTCGACACCGGACCCCAGTCCACCTTCGTCGGAATCTATGACGGCCACGGCGGCCATGAAGCCGCCGCTTTCATCTGCAACAACCTTCTCAAGAATCTTTCCAGTCAGTTCTTCTTCTTCTTCTTCCTCCTCCTTTCTTTAAATTACAGAACTCTGTGTTAAATAATTTCTGGGAATTTCTTTCTTCACAGGGATAGCCATAGAAGAAGGGAGAATGTCCGATGAGGTGCTGAGAAACGCCATAGCCGAGACAGAAAACGGGTTCCTGAGGATTGTGGAAGACGAGTTCGAGAAGACGCCGTTGATTGCAATCAAGGGCTCTTGCTGTTTGGTGGGGCTCATTTGGAAAGGGACATTACTCGTTGCCAATCTTGGAGATTCAAGGGCTGTTCTCGGAGTTCTTAACAGGCCCAACAATGGAATCTCCGCTGACCAATTGACCAGTGAGCACAATGCCTGTTCTCCCGTTGTTAGGGAAGAGCTCAGATCTCGCTATCCCGGCGATGAAAAGCTCGTCGTCTTCAAAAACCAAGCTTGGCGTGTTAAAGGAATCATTCAGGTTTTATTTCTGCATCCAAACGCGCCTTAAAGAAATTCTCTGTAATTTTTAAAATTTATTTATGGGGCGGTTTTGTTTTAGGTGACGAGGTCCATCGGAGATGCATATCTGAAGAGGCCGGAGTTTGGGTTGGGCCCGGAGTATCCAAGGTTTCATGTGCCGGAGGGGATTGATGGGCCGGTGCTGAGGTCCGACCCGAATGTGTACACGAAGCGGTTGACGCCGGAGGACAGGTTTCTGATCATGGCGTCGGACGGGCTGTGGGAGCATTTGACCAGTCAACGGGCCGTGGAGATGGTGCATATGAACCCGAGGCCGGGAATTGCCCGGAGGCTGGTCAGGGCGGCGTTGACCGAGGCGGCGGCGAAGGCCGGGATGACCTATGACGCGATCAAGGCGTTGGGGAGTGGGGTGAGGAGGAGGTTCCACGATGACATTACGGTGGTCGTTGTTTTCATAGATCAAATCCAGGGCGGCGGCGCCGGCGGGAGGGTTGTTTCCGTCAAGGGGTTCTCCCTGAGCGACGGCCCATCTGACCTCAACGACGTATTTCTGCTGGCCGGCGGCGACGATCCCGCTGGGCCCTCCTCCTCCTCCCGCGGCGACGATGCAGCTGGGCCCTCATCCTCCTCCCGCGGCGAATCTTCTGAATCTAAGCCTCTGATAGTGGACCCCAAGTCTGGCGGCGACGATGATGACGCGGCGGCCAGAAAGGGCAAGGGAGCGGCGGCTACGTGCTGAAAAGGCGCGAATTCTTTCGACCCAGAAGTTTTTAGAAAAAACGACCCAGTAGAAGCAAAAAAAACATTCTTTTGTTTTTTACACTGACTTACAGTAAAAAAAATAGTGAGGTTCTTTTAGAAGTTAAAAAAAAATAGGCATTCTTTGGTTCTTTTGGTACAAAAAAAAAGGTGAGATTCTGATAGTGTATGGAAGTTCATAGATTCAACAAATAGGCAAAAAAACAATTTATAGTCTCATGTTTTGCTTCAAAGTTTTCATCTTTGATATGTTACTTTCTTCCTTCTGCTTTTTTACTACTGCTTCATATGTCCATTCACAGTGTTATTTTTGAACACTTTTTCCCTTTGAGTATTTCACTTTGACATGTGAGAGAAATGAGCATTAAACCAGAAGAAATGAAAGAACAGAGAACCAAACACTACTAATAAAGTTGTTTCTATTTTTCATTTATTGCATTGATGATGGATGATACTCTACTCTTGTTTGTTGAGTGAGTGTGTGTCCACACACTTTTACATTAAAAATAATAGAATAATAAATAAATAAACAAAACCCAATGGAATTAAACTTCATAAATAGTAGTAGTATTAGTAATAATAACAATAATTATTATAATTATGATATATATATATATATATAAATAAACAAATAAAATGGAAGCAGCAACAGCAATGAAGGGCAACTGTTTCCATAACTAACACAGCTTCCTTGTTGTTGAGGTTGTTGTTGTTATCTTATGCATCAATCTCATGATGATGATGATGATGAAGATGATGGCACAGTGGCAGCAAAATGTTTAGAAGCACTTTCTGTGAACAATTGAAGGCCCTGACTCATCATATTCTGCCTTGGCTATCCACATCTGTCATCAACATCCATAACATAAATTTTGTTTCATTCTTTTAATGTATGAAATGTAATTGAGAGAGAGAGAGAGAGAGAGAGTAGTTCAGCATTCTTTGAATTTATGTCTAAACAAGTTTTTCTTGATAGACAAATACCTGTTGGAATGTGCTGAGGGAAGCCAGGATAGAGCCACCAATCCAAACACTGTACTTCCTCTCCGGCGGGGCAACGACCTTGATCTTCATGCTGCTGGGGGCCAGCGCAGTGATCTCCTTGCTCATCCTGTCAGCGATTCCGGCGAACATTGTGGTCCCACCACTCAGGACGATGTTCCCATACAGGTCCTTCCTGATGTCCACGTCGCACTTCATGATTGAGTTGTATGTGGTCTCGTGGATGCCGGCGGATTCCATCCCAACCATCGAGGGCTGGAACAGGACCTCCGGGCAGCGGAACCGCTCGTTGCCGATGGTGATCACCTGCCCGTCGGGCAGCTCGTAGTTCTTCTCCACGGTTGAGCTGCTCTTCGACGACTCCAGCTCTTGCTCGAAGTCAAGAGCAATGTAGGCCAGCTTCTCCTTCACGTCCCTCACGATTTCCCGTTCTGCTGAGGTGGTGAAGTTGTAACCCCTCTCGGTCAGGATCTTCACCAGGTAGTCCGTGAGGTCACGTCCTGCCAAGTCCAGACGAAGGATGGCGTGGGGAAGGGCATACCCTTCATATATAGGGACAGTGTGGCTCACACCATCCCCAGAGTCCAGAACAATTCCTGCCAACAAACACCAACCATTAGGCATAAGGGCATAAGACAATTGGGTTGGACTACGCTAAAGATTGGTTACCTTAGTAAAGGATAAAAACCTGTTTTGATACCATTATAAGAACTTAAAGATTGATATGGGTAGCTAAATTGGGCCACAAAACACTTGAGCTGAATCACACCAAAAGAGTGAACCCAATTGATTATTTACTTCAACTCAAAACCTTATTATTCTTTCTCTAATTTTCTGGTGCAAGATACCTTTAAGAAAACCAGACTTCATACAACTATATCACTAAGTCCATTGTTGATACTGCATGGGATTTTAATTGGTGAAGGATGAACAATGTGTAATTATATTAAATTACATATCTATATTTATTCATCAAATTCAAATTGAATGTCGTTTAATCACATGAATTAGAGGCATCAAACGTGGGCAGAAGCTTACCAGTTGTACGACCACTGGCATAGAGGGAGAGGACAGCCTGAATAGCAACATACATGGCAGGGGCATTGAAGGTCTCAAACATGATCTGAGTCATCTTCTCACGGTTAGCCTTGGGGTTAAGAGGGGCTTCTGTGAGAAGCACTGGGTGCTCCTCGGGTGCCACACGAAGTTCGTTATAGAACGTGTGATGCCATATCTTCTCCATGTCATCCCAGTTGTTGACAATTCCATGTTCAATTGGGTATTTCAGGCTCAAAATACCTCTCTTGGATTGGGCCTCATCGCCAACATAAGCATCTTTCTGTCCCATACCAACCATCACTCCCGTGTGTCGGGGGCGTCCCACAATGCTAGGGAAGACTGCCCTTGGGGCATCGTCTCCCGCAAATCCAGCCTGAAAATTCCAAGAACATTTAAAATGCCTAAACCCACTCCCAGAAAAAATGCTATTGAAGGATATTAAGAGTAAAATGGAAGGGAAATTTAAAAGGGATGATAATTAATTTCTTTAAATACTAGTTCTAACTCAATACATCAAACATTTGTTAAAAATTACTTCCTTCATCCTACATATTTCTTCCCTTTTCTTGATCAAACCTTCTTAAATTTGATTACAAAATGCAGAAAAATTACACTGAGTAATAATGTATCAAAAACTTGATTTTGAAATGTAGAATTAAAATATCTTATTTTTACATGCTACGGAGTACTATATATCTATATACTCCTATATAAATATATCTATATATAAACAAAGAAGACATCAATGGTCAAAAAAGTCAATGGGAGATCATGAAAAGTCAAATGAACAAAAAAGGATATGATCATTTTCCCCTGTTTGTTTTTCTTCTTAAATTTCCATGTCATTTTCATAGTCTACCCACGAAGAAGATTTGTACCTTGACCATTCCTGTGCCATTGTCACACACCAGAGGCTGAATATCCTCACCTTCTGCCATCTTCTAAAAGTGCTGTGAGAAAACCAGACATGTTAAGCAAGTATTGAGCATGAGGGCAAAACTTAATACAAGATCAATTCCCGATCATAGCTCAAATTAAGAGCAGACCCAGAAAATGACGAAGCTGATAAATTTCAATCAGTAGTAGTTTGATCACTATGAATCTCTATGTTCATTTCAAAAAAGAGTTACACTCGCAGATCGTCAGATCCGATTCCAAAGGAAGAAAAACCAGATCGCCAAACGCGAAAATGGAAAAAATGAAAATATGATCGAAGAAAATGTTCCGATTTTGCAGCAAATTGCCATACATTTCCCCCCCGATTGCATGAGATTAACCCCAAAGATTCAAACTTTGACGAAGAAAGTGTTCAGATTTTGCAGAAAATCGCTAAACGTGTCCCCCGATTGCATAAATTAACCTCAAACGATTCAAACTTCGAGGATGGAGGGATATGAACACAATGAAGGCTTTTATTAAGTACCTTTTTTTTCAAATGGATTTCTCAGGGTCTTCTTCTTCTTCTTCGATTGCTCCTGCTTGAACAAAGAATAATTGTTTTCTGCTCGTCCTCGTCGGGTTTATAAATACGTGTGGATCTTCGAAGGACTGAGTCTCGGCCTCAAATTGACGTTCGGGTCAAATTTGCCCCAGAAAATCGGATCTGCAGAAGATAATGGCCGTAGCTCTCGTGCGTGGTTCAAATTGCTGGGCTTTGGGCTTTCGTTCGTTTTGTTTAAGGAGAGGACAATTATACCCTTTGTTCATTTTCAAATTTTTGAATATAAGCAGACTTTCTTTTTACCCTTTGTCCAAGTTAAACTAAAAACCTTTTTTGGAAGTAGTATAACATTCACAAATTTTCAATTTGCAAATTTAGTTTTCATTTTGAGAATTTCATAAATAGTCATTTATAAAATAATGTTTTCGGACCTGTTTGGGAATATCGTTAGAGATTAGCGTTAACGATTTGGATAAAATTTTAACGGTGCAGATTAATTTGAAAATCCTAACGCTAAACGCTGTTCGTAGATAACCTTTTAAAAACACTAACGCTAATATCTAACGCTATTCCCAAACAGGCCCTTCATATATAGACTCTAAGATACTACGTTTATGGTCCTCAATATCTAGGAATGATTACATAATGAATCTTTTAGAGATTATACATGAAAAATAATATTTAGATAAAAGGTCTGGTTATGAAATGATTCTCAAATATTTAGGATTATGAATGTAATATCTCATCATTATAGACATACAAAAATTTTAGGGCAAATTTTTAACTGGTCCTTTGTAATAAGTTGTTTTCTTGATCAGTTATCAATAAGTCATAATTACCTACGTAGTTCTTTATAATTAAGATTTATTTCCCAGGCAGTTTTTCGCAAATAATGTTATTCAAGTGATGATTAATGAAAGAGAATTTTGGTATTTCTATCATCTAAATTTAAAGTATATTCTCAAAATGGTAAATTGTATACAATCAAATGTAAAATAAAAAATACATTGACTATATATAATCCATGAATTACTAAAAATCTATAATTCTAAAATTCAAATCAAAGACATAACTTTAATTAGAAAAGCCGTTTTTGGAAAGTGTTTCATTAGAAATGATCATTTTAAAAACTTATTCTAAATTTAGCTGATAAAAATATCAAATATTACCCAATTAATAACCATTTAGCAACATAATTTACGAAAGATTATCTATGAAATAAATTTCAATTATAGAGGACCACATATGTAATTAAAACTTATTGAATACTGATTTGAGAAAAAAATATTATTACAAATGATCATTTTGAAAAATTTACTAAAAAATTTATATTAGAAAGAATCAATTATGAAATTTATTTTAATTTTTTTGAGAGAATTAGACAATGAGAGATCATTTTACGAGTATTGTTTTAGATCGGGCTAAATTCAACAACGTAAGGCCCATAATAAAAGTAATCCGCAAACAGAAAATGGAATAACCAGGCCCAAACAACCGGAGCAACACATTTTTCGCAGCCATTTTTCCTCTCTCAAGCGTTCAATCCCTCAATGTTCTTCCCTTCATCTGCTCAATCTCAAGAACATTCAAAATAAAAACGATGAATGCGAACAGAGGCATCTTTGCGCTGGTAAAATCTCACCAGCTTATCCCTTCGAACATTAGGGTATCTTCTTTTCATTCCACGCATATCCTCGAACGCAAGAGACGCTCATATTTTGATCCTGTTAGTCTCTCTTTCTCTCTATATTGCTATTTCTTTGTGTTTATTTGGTTTGAACTGGGATATTTTGAAATGGGTACGCTGGATTTATATGTATCTATGCATTTTTGCATAAAAGAAGATGTTTTGCGCAGACATGCTGTCATGTTCTGGTATGAATACTTGTAAAGGTTCGATCTTTTCATGTTTAATGGCGGAATGTCTGTGTTTAGTTCCAGAAGTTTCTTGAAATTGAGATTATATGTGGTTGGTTTCTTGTATTGTGGAATGGGGCTCTGCCAAAAAAATTGAATTTAAGTTTTTTCCTAGGGAAGAAGGGCGAGTAGGAAGGCTCCATCAAGGGTAAGATAAGTTTATCTCATTGTATTTATTGATTTTTAAATGTGAACATAGATATCACGAGTAATGCGAAATGTTGCTCTATGTCAAGGATCCGACCTTGTTTTTGTAGCTTTAGGAAAGGTTTTATACCCTAACATGCACCCTCATCATGTCCTCACAACCATGTGAGATTTGTTTTTTTGCTCGAGCCTTTGAAATCCTGACCCCTAAGTCATGAATGTTGGCATCAAATAATCAATTCAACCAAAAGCTCAAGCTTGCATTTGTTGGTCTAGGATAGCTGTTGTACTCTAACACTTTATAGAGCGTCATCCTTGATGTATAATTATTAATAAAATCCACATTGTCAAATATGAATAATATGGAATCTTGTCTGCTTTAAACGTTGCTTTATTGAGAAATAGATCATCATACAATCTGAAAAACAATTTTTCTTTTGAAAAAAATAAATACTATAAGTCTTACTCTGTACATGAAGTCCCAATTTTATATGCTAATCCAGAGAGGGTCAGGTTGTATTTATCATCTTTATAAACTGGATAAAAATGTACTCCCTAGTATGTACTATATATGAAAGGATGTATCGTAACATACATACTAATGTTACCAAACCATAGTTTGATATTTGTAAACCAGTAAAATGTTAGTTTAATACTTTAATGCATGTGTATGTCATGTTTATCCTTTCAGTTCTTCTGACCTTGTTTTGGTTTGGGTGGAGTGCAAGTGAATATTTTCGTTATGATCATGATTTGTTAAGCCCAAAATTGTGAAACTTGTTTAGACTGCAAAGCCTAACCTTTCTCAATTATGGATTACTTTCAATAGCACACAACAGAGCTTTCTTACACTGCAATTGATTAGGAATGAATTGTCAAAAATGCCCATAGCCCATAAATTTCATTCACCCATTAACTATCATCATCTTCATCATTTATGTGGATAAGTTTTTACTATCATATTATATACTCTTATGTCAAGCAAACATGCAATTATTTGAAGTGTGCTACTTGCAGAGGTTTAACTATGAGAACAAAAGATTTAGGAAATTCAATGCAAAACAAACATTGTTGCGAAATGTCAGTTCATTTGCGGATGAGTTATTTCAGGTTATTTCTGAAGAAGATGAAATTTTGATGTCACAACATTACATTTTAATATAAAATTGAGGTTCTTTTGACACCACTCATGGGCGTCTAATATGGTTCCTACCCCTTAGCCCCCACCCCGCCCCAACTCTTCTGGGTTTGAAATTGCGGACTGGGGGGTTAGGGGGACAAGAACCATTTATGAGTCCAATAGAGCACCGTAAGGCTCTCAAATGACCTGGTGTCATATTATGACACCCGCCTTTGGTGTCAAAAGAAATCCATTCTTAGTATACTCCCTCCGTCCAAAATTAAACTTCCCAGTTTGACTCAGTGCGCAAATTTATGTGGAATGAAAATTGGGTTGACTTTCCTATTATACCCCTCAAGCTTTTAGCCATCTCCCCCTACTGATATCTAGCACCCCACCGCCGGCGGTGCTTCTGCAGCCCCTCGCAATCAAAAGCCCCCGCCGCCACTGCCCCCTCGCCGTCAAAAGCCTCCGCTGCCGCTGCCCCCTCGCCGTCGAAAGCCCCCTGGTCAGATCTCGTGGTGGGGTGACAATCTAACTCCGGCGAAAGATGCAATCCAATATCGTCATAGATGGAAGAAGATGCAATCCGTTAGATCTAGTTGACGGGAGAAGAAAGAAAAAAAGGAAGAAGAAACAGAAAAAAATGAAGAAGAAGAAAGAAGAAGAAGAAGAAGGAAGAAGAAAGAGAAAATTGAAGAAGAAACAATCAAAGGACCGAAGAAGAAAGAGGAATAAGAAAGAGAAAGAAGAAAAAGAAAGAGAAATGAAGAAAGAGAAAGCACGGAAGAAGAAAGAAGGAAGAGGAAGAAAGAAAAAAATGAAGAAAGAAAAAAGAAACGGAGGAAGTAATGAAGAAAGAAGGAAGAGGAAGAAGATGGGACAAGGGTAGGAAGGACATTTCCTTCCTAAAAACTTTCCCAAAATAGAAATGAGAAGTTTATTTGTGGACGGATGAAAAAAGAAAGTGGCAAGTTCAATTGTGAACGGAGGGAGTAATACATACTATCTCCGTCATTGAGTATTTGTCCAGTTTTGACTTTTTTCGGTCAACTGTTTTCAACCTTTGACCTATAATTAAATAAAATATATATTGTATATAAATTAGATGAAATAATATTTTAAAAATATTTGATATAATAAATCTAATAAAACTATTTTTGTATCAATATCTAATATCATTTTAAATTTGATTTGAGGTCAAAGTTTATCAATCTTGACAAAAAAAAAGTCAAAAATGGACAAATACTCAGGGACAGAGTGAGTAATAGTGTTATATTTAGGGCTTGTAATCTTACACCATTTGAAGTGATGTAATATCGTGACACCTGTTAAATTGGAGCCGTTCATAAAATTGATGATTTCTACATCATGACCTCTCTCACAAACCCCTACCCTGACCTCACCCCCTTACGCCTACCCTAGCCCCCGCAAGTGCACCATATAAGCTCGGTTGACATTTTTTTGACCAAAATGTCAATGAAACTTATATGGTGCAATTGCGGGGGCTACAATGGTTGTGAGGGGGCGAGGTCAGGGGTGGGAGTTTGTGTGAGGAATTATGGGGGGTAGGAACTGTCAATTTTATGAACGGAGCACCGTAGGTACTTTATTTTAATTGGTGTCACAATCTTACACCACTTGGAGTGGTGTATGATAACAACTCCCATAATATATAATACGGAGTATATTCTAGAATCAGCCCAAAAACTTGACAATAATGATAGACTGATAGTGTTTTATTAATTTTGTCATACCTTTCTAATGATTTTGTTTCCTAGTATTCAGAGCTGGCATTGTGATTTTAATGACGACTATGATTCTTCTTCAAGCCAAGGTTGGAGGTGGTTTGACGAGGATTGTTCGTATAATGCATCAAATTCAAGCAGATCAAGGAACAAAGGGCGGTTTGATGAGGATTTTTCGTATAAAGCATCAAAATCCAGCAAATCTAGGAGCAAGGGATCCCATAAATGGAGTAAGCTACTTTATAGTGGTGGAATAAGACATTTCCTTTGCTCTAAGCCCTTGTTTGGTTGGTTGGAAGATTTTGAATGAGAGGAAAGTGAAAGAGTGGTGTGTGTTTGGTTAAGAGAGTTAGGCTATGTTTGGTTTTGGCGGAGGGGACCCTTAATCTCCCCTCCTACCCCCCACCCCCCCTCCATTTTCAATCCCCCCAAATCGGGGTTTTTTTGTCTCCCTCTTTTCTTCTTTGTCTTCCTTTAATTTAAATATTCTTCTTCTTCCTATTCTCTTCTTTGTCTCCTCTAATTTCACTTCACCCAATTTTGGTTGATTTTTAGGGAAATTATTTTTTTCTCTCTTTAATATCTTTCACTTTTATAATAATAAAAACAAAAAAGATCAATGCTATTTTGGCTATCTCACTATATATTATACATTTATACTTTTCTTTTAAGGAAATTTTCGCAGTTTTGTGATTTTTCCTTTTAAACAATTTTCAACATCAGCCTTTCACTTTCAAGTTTGACGTCATTCATGACACCACTGTGTCTCATAGACATGCACATACAATATATTATGTACCAGTACCGGTGTCATCAACAACGGTGTCATCAACAAGGGCTAAGACAAACTCCTAACATTTTCCTTTTTAATAAGGGTGCCACTATACGCTATGAAGTTCATATCGAAATTAAATATCTTTTCAATAACAACGAATATATTATGGACCAAACAAGGGCTAGGCTTCATAAGTTACGTATTTCTTAAGCTTTTTTTGTTTTAATTTGCAGGTGAGTTACGGTTTGTTGATGATTTGGGCTTAGAAGTAGAAAACTTTTTCCGTACTGGTTTCGGTGGAAAACACAGCTTCAGTTGGTCATTTGTAAATGAAGATTTCCCACATAGACATTCATCGCGTCACTCTAACACTTATGGGCATTCAAAGCAGAGGTTTAGGCATAAATATGAGTATGATGATGATGATGATTATGGATCGAGAGAACTTGAAATGCGCCAAACTGATTTGAGGTCCCAGCGACTTGCCCTTGGCTTGAATGCCTCCGGTCCCTTAAATCTTGAAGATGTCAAAAACGCGTAAGTTTTTCTTCAAGCCTCATCATCTCAGAAACAATCTCTCTTCTCTGTTTTCCAAAAACCATCGCAATATGCAGTTGTTGTTTCTTAAAAAAAATGTTCCCTTGATTATGATGTCTCATGCAGATATCGTTCGTGCGCTTTGAAATGGCATCCGGATCGCCATCAAGGTCCTTCCAAGGTATTTTCTTTGTCTTCCATTTAAGGCAACAAAATAATTTTCTTTTCCCTCGCGTGTATAGACTATTGGCTACAATAATGTTCTTTTGTCACCAAAAGCCAGTGTCTTAATATGACACTGGTCCATTTGAGGGCCCCACGGATGGAGCGCCATAGGGCCTTCAATTGGTCTGGGTGTCATATTATGACACTGCGGTTGGTTGTCGGAAGAACCTCAGTGATAGTAATAATAATGTCTTATGCAAACTTGGAAAAAACATGGTTGTAGGTGGTCGCTGAAGAGAAGTTCAAGGCTTGCAGTTCGGCTTACCAATCGCTGTGCAATAATATATCTCTCAACTAATCATCTGCCCCAGCAAGTGAAATGACGTTTTTAGCCCTTAACGCGTGGCTCCTGTAATGTTCTCTGTTCATTTAGGTCATAAACAAGAATGCAAGACTGCCTCCATATGTAACCTATTTTTCATTGACATTTTTCTTTTTGAAAGTTGTAAATTGTGATGCTGTGATGTACTGTTATTGCCAATTTGCCATAGACACAGGCTTAAGGTTATAGTTGATGAACTTAAAGAGTTTGATTTCCATGGAGTGTGAAGCTTTCATCCAAAGTTTGTGTTGGATCATTCTCATTTTTTTGGGTTGATTTACAATTATCTAAAACAAGTATGGAGCAAAATATACTCTTTCCCTCCCAAGTTCTTCATGCAACTTTGATTTTTTTTTTTGGTTAGTCAAGATTAACCTTTGACTTATTATTAAAATAAAATTATATGGTACAGAGTATGTATAATTAGATAAAACAACATTTTGAAAATGTTTTACAAGATAAATCTATCAAATTATTTTTTGTATCTAAAAAATAGTATCAGTTTTATTTAATTTGAACCTGACAAAATTTGTTAACTTTAACTATAAAAAGTTAAATCTGGACAAGAAATCCGGAAGGAATGTAATATAGTAATCCTTTTTCCCAAAAAAATTAAAATAAAAAAATATAGTTGAATCATTTTTAGCAAACTCAAACCGCCAAGAGCCTCGTATCAATACTGGTCACAATTTAACCTTTTCGAGAACAAAACGATTCCAGAACCTGTATCATTAACTTGAGTACCTCGAGTACTAGTACCGCTGCCGTGAAAACCCCTACCCGAGTAGCATTAGAAAGTCTATCATTGACTAAAATGTTTATTTGGGAGGAATGTTAAGGCTACACCAAAAAGTGTAACACAGTTCTACACCAAGGTAAATGAGACATAATCCTGTGCCCCTTATTCTTTTCAAGATTATATCCCTACTTTTTCTTTACACTATTTACTTTATTTCATTACATCCAGGGCAAGACATGAAAAGTCTTTATATTTTTTCTTAATCTATGTACCAAGTCAGTTTAAGAAAGAAATTTTTTAACGGAGGTAGTATTTTTTAGGATTAAGCTAGGGGTACACCAACATGGGGTACCCCAAGTGTACACCAAGCCAACACAGACACACACAGACACAAAGTGTCTGTATTGCACAGACATTTGGTGTCTGTGTGTGTCTGTGTTGGTTTGGTGTACACTTGGAGTACCCCATGTTGGTGTACCCCTAGTATTGCCCTATTCTTTAACCTACTCCTAACATTTTTCTTATTTTACTAGTAGGGAAATGATTAATTTGGTTTAAGGATGGTTCCAATACCAGGGCGCTCCGGTGCCCCAAATGATGATTGAACAGTGCTGACTTTTCAATCAACAGATAAAAGATCAAATTTTCTCTCCATTCTTCATCTTCACCAAATGCTTCCCAGTTCCCACCCATGAAGTGGTAGCCGCAACAGCAAGAACTGTACAATCCGAATTGAAGTTGCAGTTATCAAAGCTCGCCGACAATCCGAAACCCATAAAGATTTAAAAAAAAATAAAAAAGCTTGCAGCTGAATTTGCTGTTATGTAGATGCGAATAATGCTCAAAGCCATTCAAATTCTGGGTTCATCATCATCATCTTCTTCTTCAGGGTTCGTCTTCTTCTGCGCACTGAGGAAGCCGCCGCACCCTAATTCCGCCCTCTCCTTCATTTCAATTAAACCCTCTCCCGCATCTTCCAAATCAACTTTACCGGCTCTTTTGCCGCGCCGTCGCAGTACAAGTACAGGCTTCCGAATGTACTCCTCTTGCCGCCGCGATTCAAATCCGGCCGGGACATCGTCTTTGTCGCCATCTGGAGGAGTGGCATCGTGTTTTTCTGCTTCGTCTGGACCCTTTCAGCCCCCTGTGAGTTCCTGGTTCCCCTGATCTGTAATGTTATGGTTCGTTGGGTTGCATCGATTTTCTGGATTTCTTCACTTTTCTTGCCATATTTGCTTTATTAGTTTGTGAATTTGTGATTTCTCTACTTATATTCAACAATGTTAGTTGGGATTTGGCTTGATAATTGAAAACCAGGTATTAAACATGTTATGTTCAAACAAGAAATTGGGTCTTGGTAATCCTAACAAGTTGAGCATAAGGAGCCTAGTTAAACTCAAGTGTTGTTCTATTACAGTTCATCTTTCTGAATTCCACTTTAGATTAGTCGATAGGGTTAATTCACTTACTTTTCATGTCTGGCAATGAAGACATGCCCTATTTGGTTTGTAATTCACTTTGCTTTAGCCTTGCATCCGGTTTCTCTCTCATACCATTTGCTTGAGCATCTACTACTCTGCAGATAGGCGTTCACAAGATCAAATTTTGCCAGTCATGTGGTGGGCCTATGAAGCACGAGGTTCCCAATGGGGAGGAGAGGGAGAGAGCTATTTGTACTGTTTGTGGGGGGATTGCGTATGAGAACCCAAAAATGGTAAGCTCATTGATGTAGGAGACATTATCATGCGCGCATGCATTCTAGATTCTTTGTTGCACATGTTTATTCATCACATATGTTTTAAGCTATTCAGGACCAAAAGGTGTTTCTACTTCAGGAACAGTTAGTTTCTTCTTGACTGTGATTGGTGATGGCACACTTTAAGCTTTGATAAAGTATCCTTTTATGTTTTATAGTTGTTTCTATAGTTGCATTTGTATTTCATAGTCAGAGGTGAAATTCTTGGATTTATGAAAGACGAACAACTGCGAAAGCATTTGCCAAGGATGTTTTCATTAATCAATGCAACTTTCGACGTTGAGCCGGGGGTCTCTTTGGAAACAGCCTCTCTACTTTCGAGTAGGGGCAAGGTCTGTGTACACACACCCTCCCCAGACCCTACTCTTGTGGGATTTAACTGGGTTGTTGTTGTTGTTGTAGTTGTTTCTATAGTTGTCTTTTTTGGTTGTCTTAGTCAATCCGTCCATTCACTCCATTGCTAATGGTGCTAAAAGAGTCATCATTCACAATGTTTTAGTTTCGAGCACATAATGAATTAAATAAAAAAGGTGAATTAAATAAAAAAGGCACATTAAACTTTCTTCGTTTCTTAATCGCTATGAAGAGTTGAGAAATAAATGCAGCAATGCATCTATGGTTCAATGGTCAACGGTAACATCTTCTAATCTTCTATGCTTTTACACGGGTAAGATTGCGTACATTTTGACTCCCCAGAGCCCAAGGGAGTTGGAATCGTACTAGATTGTTGTTGGTCGTTTTGGTCAAAGTTATCATTCGTTTAGCATTTGGTTGTTCTAACCCGTTTTTATTTTTTCTTGAGTTGACGGTCTTCTAGAAATGTCTCTACCCTTTTAGGTAGGGATTGACTTTGCTTACACCTACCCTTCCCAGACCTTACCTGTGGGACCTTACTGTGTTGTTGTTGGTCAAGTTAACATAAGGATTCTAACATTTTGAATGTTTCATTTTTTGGGAGATAGTTATTGAAATTCTGTGCTGATGCATATGAGAAATGAGCTCTTTGTTAAAGTTTGCTTTTTTTAAATAATGCAGGTCGTTGGCTGCCTTATCGAACATGATAACAAGATACTGCTTTGCAAACGGAACATTCAGCCATCTCATGGCCTTTGGTATGTGTATACTTATCAAAAGCTACACTGAAATAGTTTTTTAATAGAAATTTTCATATGCCTCCACAGAAATACTAAAATTAGGGATATGAAAAAGAAAAGAAATTGGCTAATTACAATTTCTTGAAATCATCTATAAACATAACTGTAATTATTTCTTACTCAATCCGGATTGAACCCGGTTTTAGAATTCTTATGTCAACTAAAATTGAAAAGTAATATTTAATTTAGGACTCTTCCTGCCGGTTACCTGGAGATGGGGGAATCAACAGTAGAAGGGGCAATGAGAGAAACATGGGAAGAGGCTGGTGCAGAAGTCGACATCATCTCACCATTTACTCAGTTGGACATCCCTCTTATTGGCCAAGTACATAACTTTGAAACTCTTGCTCCACTTATTTATTTGCATTTGGAATACAAGGCCCCATTTGGCCACCATAATCATATTTTATTATGCATACCATTAGAATACACGTTTTTTTACTTGTTTGTCTTGATGATATTTGAGCCGGGGGTCTCTTGGAAACAACCTCTGCACGTAATCACACCCTCCCAAGACTATTTTTTGTGTAGAATTTTACTGGTTTTGTTGTTTTTGTTGTTAAATGCTTGGTTGAAAATTGAAATGGATGTTTACGCTTTTTCCTAGTAGAAAACTGATTGTCTCTCTTATTGGGGACAGACCTACATAATTTTCTTGGCCAAGTTGAAGAGACCTCATTTTTCACCCGGTCCAGAATCATCCGAATGTCGGCTCTTTGAACTCGGAGAAATTCCTTTTGAATCTTTAGCTTTCTCATCCATGTTGGTCACTTTGGAGTTGGTATGTTACATGGCTAGAACTCCACATAATTTTTCTATCACTTGCTTTTATTCCCAAGATATCTCTACTAATGTTTTTTTTCCCAACATATATCTTGTGCTTGTAGTTCATAGAAGATAGAAAAGCTGGAAAACCTATGTTTCACTATGGCATCATTAACAAGAGGTACTCCCTTGCCATTTCACCGAAAAATTGGCATCTTAGGGTGTGTTTGGTGATGATTAAAATATGAGCTCAATTGTGTTTTAAAAAAGGGGAAACTTATAAGGGCCTGTATGGATGAGTTTGGAAATATCTACCCAAAGTTGATAAGATAGACTTTACCGAACACTCACAAAAGGGTTCAAAGATCTGGAACCATATTTGCTGTGCTCACCAAACGAGCCCTTAGAAGTGTTAATGAATTAACCTCCTGGCTATGGTTGTTGAACAGGCCTGGCACGAGCCCCTCCGAGATTCGCGCATACACTCTTGATCATCACTTTCAATGTTGATCGATGGAGATTCACATACGATCCCAAATCCCGATTGTTCCTCCGTTCGGTTTCACATATGGTCCATCCAAACAAGAAATCCTCTATTTGGCTAAACAAAAAAAAGTCGAGAATGAAGTGGTGGTGCTATGGGGTGGCACTATGTGGGGGAATGTAGTGACAACTTGCTTTCAAGATTGGACCTCACTGTTTACACACTTAGTTGCAGCAGCATCTAATCATCTCTATCTGTGTGTACTTTTGCACCCACCAGGCCACCATATG